GAGCCACCCCCGCGTCGCGCAGCCAGCGCGGTCACCGGCGCGCGTCACACGGGGCAGCACGCGGCTCCCGACACGTCCCCTTGCTGCAGCCCCAGCACAGCCGTACAGGAGTGGCAGGGGACGGTCCCGACACAGCTGCTGCATCCAGAGGCTGCTCCAGCGTCCGCGGGACCCGCCAACGCCGCCCCCAAAACCGCCGCTCCGATAATCCCTCTGATCCCAGGGCCCATCTGGCCCGCACGACATCTGCCAACCGCCTCATCCACACGGCAGATACAGATGGGATGATCCCGGCTATTCACTAAAACGTGCAAAATGGTCCCTCCAGCAGCAAATATGTTTAAGGCAGTAAAGACAAAATACCTGTATATTTACTTGGTAATCCGTTGGCCCATGTATGGATCCGTATAATCCAAACCCAACTACAAATATCCTTTTATTTACTGAGAACCTGCAGGAAGAGATCAGAAAAGTCAGACCAACTCGCCACATCTGCACAGGATGCACAAATACCTCATTCCCTTTAATTTTGCATCTATTTAATCAAATGCACGTGGGAGTTTTGAACACGGGGCTTGCTGGTACCTGAAGTGCTTTAGAGAAATCCTCATTTGGAATTTTGCACCTTGGACTGTCCTAACAGGGCAGCAGTTTTGCAGATCCGAAGCCGCCTGATCGACCACCAAATTTCTTCTCCCACCCATCAGCACTTCCACGTTGGTTTCAAACCCAAACATCCGCACCCAGCTAAGGACCAATGTCCTGGGAGCCGCGTAAAACTTCAGCGGTGAAACTAAACACACGTTTTTCTCAAGATAAAGCCCGATGCTGCCAGCAGCTGAACTTAAAATCAAATATAAGCCCCAAAGGCTCTCCAAGCATTAGGTCTTGGAGCAGGGAATGGCTGGAGTGTGCAGTTGCAAACCCTGGAGCAAGGGGAGGAAAGGCCCAGGGCGCTGTGTAGCAAGACGACCCCAGGGGAAGGCCTTGGCATTTCGGAAGCGCTTTGTCAACGCGGGTCCTCTCTGCACCCAAACACGAAGGTTTTCCGGGTGCTTCCCCCCTGCTCCAATCTCGGCCACCACCGCCCAGACGCTTCCCAAGGGCGGCCGGGCTGGAGGGCTGCGAGGCGGCGCCGAGGCCGCAGAGTTTCTTCCCTGAGGAAATGGCCTCAAGTTGCGCCAGGGGAGGTTCGGGTCAGAAATTAGGAAAAAATTATACAAGGGAAGAGTGCTGAAGCCTTGGAACAGGCTGCCCAGGGCAGTGGTGGAGTCCCCGTCCCTGGCAGTGCCCAAGGACCGTGCGGATGCGGCGCTCAGGGACACGGCGGAGCAGCACGGGGCGGGGGGCCTGGCTCTTGGACTCGCTGATCTTCAAGCTCTTTTCCACCCATAAGGATTCGGTGACACCAGCGCGCCCAGCGCGGGCGCCCGCTCGGGAGCGGGAGGCCGGGAGGCCGCAGCACTGACCTGATCCTGTCGCTGGTGCCGCTGTAGCCCCAGCGGCTCTCCACTTGCTGGAAGCGGCTGATGCTGCACTCCTTGCCCCGCAGGCAGCAGCGCGGCCGGTCGATGAACTCCACGCGCGGCTTGGGGTTCACGGTGAAGTGCAGGAAGAGGCTCACGAGCACCGCGGGCGGCTGCAGGGCCCGGTCGCGATGCCGGGGCTCCGCTGACCCTGCCGCTCCTCCCTTGGGACACAGGAGCGCACAGGGATTTTTGTACATGGGGTGTTTTACAGCATCCCTGTTCAGAGCTTGGGCAAACCCCTGCGGGTGGCAGGGGCACCTGGGATATTTTTCTGTGCAGGGAAAGGCGGCTCCGCTCATGCCCTGCTCCGACCCCCTTCCCGGGTGTTTAGTCCCAGCTTTGAGGGGCTTCTTTTTAAGTAGCTGCTTTGCCTGTTATTGCAGAACCTAATAAAAACCCTGGTGGTTCCAGCAAGAGTTGAAACCCATCCCTGTCTTTGCTCCGGTAACCAGCGGCGCTGCTGAACTCGAGCTCTGGCAGCTGCTCCGGACACTTTCCAAAGGGGAACTGGGTAAAATGAGTTCTCAGTTCCTGCAGCAAATACTTAAAGTGTCTCTGCACCTCCGTTTGCAAGAGAGTTTTAATGCAAAGAGCACTACTGCACATTGGAAAGACGCACTGCAAAAACAGCTGCACTGCTGCATTGCAAAGTCTGGAATAAAGGGAGCAAATTCCCAGCTACTTTTTGGCCCAACGCAAGTTGTAGTTGGTTAAATTGGGCAGTATTTAAAGCTGTGCCCATTCACAGACACAACCCGGTCTGTGGGGGCGACGGGGATGGCTGAAAGGCTCCAAGGAAGCTGCTTTTGGAAGCGGGCGAGCTGGGGGCCGCTCAGCTCAACAGCGTTAACCCACATCCATCGTGCCCGGACTCATCCCGCGCAGCTGCCACCCACTTCTCAAAGGTTTCCAATTACTTTTGCTCTGAGGGGAAGGGAGGGACCCACTTGCTGGTTCAAACATCTCCCTGCAAAACCCCACGTCTCGCTCGGCATCGCTCGACACGCTGGCGAAACCACAGCCTGCAAAATGCTTCTGGTGGTGCAGGGAGAGGGGGGCAAAGCGAAGACATTCCCTCCTCCTGCCCCTGTTGTGGTTTGCGAAGGAGCCAGCGACTGCCCAGGAGCGCTGAAGGATGAAGCAGGAGGGTATCCGGGCACCCCCCGCTCACACGTCTGCCCCGTTTGGTGCTGGGGACTCTCCTTTTGCTGGAGCGCAGGCGGAGAGCTTAGGAATTTCTCTCCAGGCAAAAAGAGGGATCAAAGACCCAAGTGGAGGAGCTCGACTTTGTAGTTAGAGCCAGCACGGGGAGGGGGCTCCCAGCTCCCCGGCTTCAACCTACCGATGCCAAAACTCACGCGCCCCTTGGAGCGCGAGGCTGATGTAGGAGATCTGCAGGGCGAAAGGAAAGGGATGGAGGCAAAAATGCCAGGTTTTATTTGCACATGCGCTGCGACCCGCCTGCCTGCAAGCGGGGCAGGAGGAGGAGGAGGGCCTCTTTAATTAAGCTCGAGGCTAAGCCCATAATCCGCTGCAAAGCTGCTGTTTGGCACCACAAAACTCGCAGCGGTTTCGCAGCCGTGTGGCACACGGGGACGTCACCCTGGGCGGCTCTGCCTCCCCTCGGGCCCTCTCTGCAGCCCTGCAGCCCGTCACCGCCGTGCCAGCAAAACAGGGGCAACTTAAAAGCAGGTAGTTTCTACTTTTTACTACTATCCTCTTCATTTTAGCAGGCTGCGCATTAAACGCTAACGAGCCGATGCCATCTCTGCTTTCAGAAGTGGTTTGGATAGGGAAAGGTGTCACTGAAAGGTGTCTTTTTGCTTGTTGGTACAGATATCCGGAGCCTACACCAAGTTGCAGTTTTCGAAACAGCCCCACAGTTTGTTTTAACATGAGAAATATTTGTTGGTTGGCAGTTTTCAATCCCTGGAGAATCACCAGACTACGAAGCTGGAAATGACAGGCAGTGAAAACAAAGCCAAACAAACAAAAAGTCTTCAGTCAAACTGTTAAATGATTTAGATTCTTTTTAGATCAAGATCTTAATGCAAAGGGTGGAAAAAACACTGAGAGACACAGAATGAACAGCACCAACCCGTGAGCTCAGAGGATGGGAAGTTCCTCCTGTCCAGAGGCATCACCAAGAGGACACCCCAGCAGCACCACGGGATTGCAGGCAACAGGAAACAGGAGGTGGGGAAAAACCCCCTTGTTTCTTGTTGGGAGCAGCCTACAGTCAGTGCCAATCAGCTGCAGCCTCGTTAGCGCTGCATTTTGGTGTTGAAAATGCCTGAACACTTGCAATGGTCAGGAAGGGGAGCAGGCGCACGCCGAGGGACCTGCTCAACGAGAGGGGACCAACTAAAACACCAGAAGAAGGCCCGGGGAGGAGGCGTTTGCTCCTGTTCAATGCGAGTGCAGTCTGCAAAACAAACGTTAGCAATCGCGGATGGAAACAGCCTTTACATAGTAGATTTTGCAGGTCAGTGGGAACAGGGGGGAAGATCTCCGATTTAAATTATTACAACACACACAGAGCAAATCCACTTTCATGTACTTGATCCTCTGTTCAGAGGAAGCAACAACCAGGGCTCGGGAAATGCCTTTGTTCAGTTACCTGCTGCAAACTCCTCAATAGTCATCAATGGGAAGCGGATAAGGGAAAGCGCTTTGCCCAGCACTTTCCGCTTGTTCTCTGGAATCACCTGAAGTTGCTGCCGTTGACACTCAGCCTCCGACCAGCGAACCACCGCGTTAAACAAACGCACCTCCCGGATCCCCAGCGTGTCCCTCTCCAGCACTGCAACCAGGGTGTCTGCAAAGGCAGGAGGGACAGGGACAGCTTTAGGCACCAACCCGGACGACCCCAGTTCGCCTAGCCAGAAAGCACCGCGTGTTCAGCCAAGGCAAGAGAGCGGAGAGCGGCTCGGAACACCCCAGCGCTGCCTGCAGCGTCACGAAGAGGTATCTGCATATTCCATAAGGAAGGGACGGGAGCAGCAAACGCTGCCCAGTTATTTGCTCTGTTAATGGGGGGAAATTCAGGAGAATTCATTCAGTAGAATGAATTGCAACTTGGTTGATGTTAAATTTGGACGGAGGAAGCAGCACAAAAGCCAGAAGGTTACTCGTGTCTTACTTTCACAGCCCATCTCATCAGGAGAAGGTTAAGGCTGGAATTTTTATGTTTAGTAACTGTGCCCAGCAAGTTTGGCTACTGCATAGGATAATTAAAATACCCAGTTCTTGCTTCCAAAAACGCAACACCTTTTTAACTCCAAAACCTGACAGAGACGCAGCGAACGCAGCCAACTCCACCAAAGAAGGCAA